TGTCTTCCTTATCACACTCTGCATTTGTAAACATACTTCCTGCTTGAAAAGCTTTACAAACTATTACTTTTCGTTTTAGACTGGAGAATCTACAACACTAGATGGCTCATAAGTGTTCTAAAACACTATAAAGGGGTACTTAGTCCCTGGAGTGTTGATCTGCTTCAGGCCAATTTTAGTTATTATAAGATCAAGCAACAGGTAATAGGAAGCTTAACTATATTGAGCTCTTTTGCAGAGATTCTTCTGCTGAGAGCCTAAGATCAATTATGGTGAGGATTTCTGGAGAAGCTTAATGAAGATTTTCTGTGGAGGAGGAGGTGCCACCATAGTAGGAATTCTGGTCAGCAGTGAGAGGTAGAAAGTGAGTCCACCAACAGGAAGCCACCCTCCTCCTCTCAAGAGAATGGTGACCCCTGGTGTTGTATGGAATGTGGTAAAGCCCCTGACAGTTCATGGGACACCTAATAGCCATCTCTTGTCTTGGCTTTTGCTCAGTTGCTTGATTTGTTTTGATTTTTGTTTTTCAATAGGTATTCTGCTATCAATGAAATCAACAAAATACAAGGAACTCAGGGCTGTGTCTTTGTCTATTTCATCATAAAACTGTCCCGGATGGGGAGCGGAGCATCCTATGTGGGATTCCATGGAGGTAGGGCCAAAAGATGAGTGACTGTCTTTAAGTATATCTAGGCTGCTTCTTGGGGTCTCCTGATGCCCATGTCTAGGTCAGACAATAATCCCAGCTGTCTCTGGGCTTCTCTGGGCTCAGTGTTCACAGCCATTGCCCTGGGACTTGCTGTTGCTGTATCAGCCTGGCCTGGCCTACCTCAGGAGTGCACAGGATACACTCCAGCTCCCACTTTTTATTGTTCAAATGACTCAGAGATCTTACCCCTTGCATACCAGCCCTAGTGTTAATTCTTGGTGTCTGCTCCTTGGGGAAGTACTGTGTTCAAATCAGTCCATTCCTTTTTCTGTGGAATGGTCACCAGCTAGATTGTATAAGACAATTGGTATTTTGAAAAGAAGGAAATAAGCTTAATAATTTCACAGATGGAAAGGCAACCTGTCAGAATCTTTCTAATTATGGGACAGTAAGTGCAATTAGATGCATGTAAAGGATGGTAGAAGATCTATGTAGCCTTTGCATGCCAGTTAATCAGCCTCAACGCCGATCATCACTCTGACAGTAGTGTGATTGAGCATCTGGACAGAGGTGTACTCCTGCTCATAACAGATAAGAAGAAAACAAAAAGATGTGAGACTTGATTGCTTTGTTCTTCGCAGGGCTGTGGAAGTCTGTGCACATTGATGAACTCCGGAGGTCCACAGTCATGGCCTCTGATGTGACTAAGCTGCAGAGCGTCACCATCAGCCAGCTGTTCATGCCAGGAGGCAGCCTAAAGCGTGAGTTGCAATGTGGCTGTCTGCGGAGGTAGAGGCACAGAAGTAGGTGGAAGGTGCCAAGTTAGGCAGCCTCCTGTGAAGCTGGAGTCAGGGCTGCCACATTTGAGTCACCTTTGAGTCGTGGTACCTGCCCTCAGCAGGAACTCAGGATGTGGCACTGAACTGCCTGGCTCATGGTCAACATAACCAGAGCCTTGGGAAGGCCAACAGCAGTACCCAGTGTATCAGTTGGTGTGCTGTGGATCATGTGCCAGCCCTCATCCCAGGATCTGGGGCACCTGAAGAGTGGGTTTTATGCTGATCTATATGACAGTCCTCCTTTTGACTGGGACTGCCACTGAAGCTTGGGACAGGAAACCCTGGAGAGGCCCATCCTAGGCACTTGGTACCACCCACCCACTTCCTTATCCAAGTGGTGACTTGATTGTATTCCCTTCATTTGCAGCGAAAGGAAACCAGGACAAGGTGATGGAGGCAGAGATCAGCAAGTCAGGGGAGGTGGCAGAAATGGAAATGGAAGAGGTAGGTCCCAAGGAGATGGAATGGGAGGCCGTGGACCTGAGGGGCAGTGATATGAGTTCTCTGTTCCCCTGTTGGCTTCAGGTGGCTGAGCTGGAGGAGCCTAGGCAGCTGTGCCAGGGTCAGGCTGAGCCCTGCTTTCTCTTTATGCTGGAAGTATGAGGGACTTACCAGGACAAGATCCGCCTTTCCCTTCTTTGTGAAGGCTCCTAGTTAGCTCTGCCCTGTCCCTCAACCACTCGCCAAATCCCTGAGGTCAGCAACTACCTTGCCAGTGGTCCTCAGGGGAGTTGGGCAGTACACAGGATCAGCTGGGAGAGGTCAGTAGGTCAGCTTCTCCATGGAGACCAGCCACCAATGCTTTGGGCATGTGATCACCAGGCCACCTTCTCATGTGGGTAGCATAGCTTTCAACCACCCTGAACATGGCAGTAGCAGACGATGTGCTGTCTCCCTTGGCAGGCACAGGTCCTGGACACCACCAGACTGCTGAGGAGCTGTGTGCAAAGTGCCGTGGGGATGCTCAGGGACCAGGAGAGCTGCCCGCGCAACATGAGGAGAGTCACCATCCTCCTCAGCCTCTTGAATGGGGACAGTGTGTGCAGTGGTATGAGTCATGCCCCTGCTTCTCATCCTACCCCAGGAGGCCCTTCCTGAGCAGTGGGAATCGGGTGGCTGAGTGTGGCGAGCTGCCCTTCTGGGTTTTCGTGACTTGGCACATGCAGCTGGCATAGTGGGAATCTCAGGACATCTCATGAATTCTGCTCTAGAATTGGCCTGGTCAGAGGACCAGTGGCTTCCCTCTGTGGGGGAACTGTTCAAGCAGCACAACAGAGCCTCCAACTTGGTGCCCACAGGTGGACCAAATCATTTCCCTTCTGACTTTTCACAGCCTCGTTCTTGCGGGTATCTAAGATGCGCCTCTCCTTCCTTCTAAAGAAGCAAGAAGAGAACCAGCTCTGCAGTCTGAAGGAGTGGGTGGGGCGAGAGGCTGCGAACCAGGATGCACTCCAGGAGTCCGGCACCTTCAGGTACTGCAAGCAGTGGGCAGTGCAGGGACCTAGTATACCATCCCAGGGGAAGGAGCACACCAGGTGTTTCTTTCTCCACCTCTGAGGAGGGCAGAGCTATGTTTTTGCTCCAAGATCCCCAAACAGACCTGGATGGTGGTCATGTGTAGTTGTTGGCCATGTGGGTGGTGGTCCTGGGGTGTTTATTGGCCACCTGGATGTTGGTCACAGGGGTTAGGCACTTGAATGGTGGTCATGAGGATTGTTGGCTTCTTTTCTCTGCTTTTGTGTGCTTAACTATTTTCATAATAGAAAATTTAAAAAAAATTTTTAAAAAGCCAGGTTTGCCATTCAAAGTTATTAAAATTGAGATGGTGATGTGCAGGGAAGTAACAAAGTATCTTCCCAGCCCTACAGCTTAAAGTAGCAGCAAGTACAAAATAGGACCCAGAAGTGCCATTTATTGTCCGTAGTCTTTTTTCTACAAAACCATGACCCTTTTCTTCAGACCCTTTGAAGAGCCTGTGCTATGGGGACAGGAGGGTTGCTCAGGGTCTCAGATGGAGGATCTGAGGGTCTGAAACCACCTGTTGGCAGGATGATCTTAGGCCTGAGGTCCTCCACGGTCCCTCCAGTTCTGCCTTTCTGACCCCTGGCTCCAGGCCTGCTGCCCCACGTGGCCCACAGGGGGAATGTGGGCAATGGCAGAGTCCTGGGAGGCCAGGGCCCATGGGTGCTGGCTTCCTCACCACAGGAGCTTTTCTGTTTCAAGTTCTCTGTGCAGTGCTCCTTGACTTCTTTTCTAGTTACATCTTCTGAAGGAAGTTTGTGAGGCCAGAAACTGAATATGCTCATGTCTTCCTGGATGGTCTCCGTTTCCTAGCACATGTCCAAGCCATGTCCCATCACCCCTTTGCCACTGTGGCTCTGGCCTTGATGGGTTTACCAGCCTCCCTTTTCACTGCCCCATGGTCTCCACTGCACCCGGGACCAGTTTCTTCCCTGTGGTCACCAGCAACACCCAAGAACAATTGGACTTGCTTGCACTGTACCCTCAATGCCCATTTCTGGGGCTAGAAGGCCTTTGGGAACCTGCTGGTCTGTCACAGGATGTCATGACTCTTCACCTTCACTGTGTGTCTGGGACTCAATGTCATGTACCCTTGTGGCTAGATAGTCAGCCTCCTTGGAGTCCTTTACACCAAGAGTCCTCTGGTTTTTAGTTCATCATGTTAAGTAGCCTGTTGACTTTGATATTCTTTTTGATTCTCAACTTGTTTCAAATTTGGTCTCTTGGAGGCCCACTGAGGTGACTGTTACTCTCAAGCACTTTCCAGGGCACTCAGCTGCTCTGCCCAGGGCCTCTTTCACCACGCACCCTTATTCTCTGGGCATGTTCTAGTTTGGGGTCTTAAGTCAAGTGATGTCCTTGACTAATGGGGTGCTTGCTTTCTCTGTTTTTAAATTCTTTCTAGAATCCTGTATACTATATACTCAGAAAAAAATTATATACCTCACTTTTCTTCCCAACATAATTACTTAGTAATTCTTGTCCTTTGCCACAAGAAATTGTAGAATTTTTGTTATTATGTAAAAATATATCATTTTAATATGAAAGTG